AGTCGTTAAATTCACCCATGACACTGTGAAGCATAAGAACCACCATATACCTCAACAGCACTTCTGTAACCCCATAAAAATCTGGATTTTGTCTTTGTTATTTGAATGTAGGTAGCTTAGACGTCTATAAAGTAATTACATTTACAGCAAACTTACAATGTGTACCAGCGGCCTGACTTAGTGGAAACATTTATATCATATCTGACAGATAAAAGAGCAAATCCTATTCCTATTCATTCCAGGTGGTATTCTCAGTCCTACCCAGAAGCCTTATCAAATAGAGGACTTTTGCAGCATGCCTTGAAGATACTTTGCAAAAAGAGAAGGTGGAAGGAGGAGGAAATTCCAGACCCGAAGCATGTGCCACATTTTCAGATTAAAATTCCTTGTCAGTTGACTAGTACAGCAAAATCACAGCTAGAGTCACTTATCAAAAGTTCTGCTCACTACCCACCTTGCAGACAAGCTTTGTTAACCCTAAAATTAATGACATCATAAGCTAAAAAATCTTGATATCAAAGATCACCAATGTAAAATATGAATTGGTCAGGGTAATTTCCACAGGAATTCTTTTTTCTTGTCAAACCAATAAAACTGAGTATGCTTAGTGGCAAAACGTACATTTTACAGCTCAGTCACTGCTGCTGCATGTTTAGGTGCATATCAGGCAGTGCACTGTAACAAGCATTGTGAGCTTCTCCAGAACCACTGCTTGAGGAAGAAGAGCTAAGAACTCAAAGTTTGAGGAGTGATGTTCACTACCAACCTGGTAGTGACGGACCGACAGTCACCAACAGCCGAGGTGTTGGTAGTATTCTTGTGAAATCCTCAAGTCAACTGACCTACTTGATTTGTTTCTCTTTTAACTCCTGCTGAGAAGCAACTACACTGCCATTGCTATGATGGTTCTTGGCCAACTGCATAGCAGGACTTCCACTGGAGCCATAATTTCCACTTTTATCAGAAAGTAAAGCTCATTTTAGCATTAATTATAAACTTACTATAAAATTAGGTGTTAAAAAAGTTGAATTAAGTACTGCAAATGGGAGCGAAGGAAATGGAAGTAGGGGGAAACATATATAACCTTTCGTTGTTAGATTTACTTAAAACCATTTTTATGATTAAATGTGAAATTTTCACATTCTTGAAGAAATCCTACTTCTGTTTCCATTAACGGTAAAACTAATTCTCTTTTAGAATAACTCTTTTGAAGTTCTAAGGCATGCATTTTTTATAATTTTGTATGCCAGGAACATGGGCTTCAATTAAATTGTATATAATATTATTATTTCTAGAGTCTTGTTTCAAGGCATAAAACTAAGCAAATCATGTAATAGAAATCTCCATGAGAACATGAAAAGTATCTTACATATATATCACATACATACAAAATAAATATATCCAACTTGCTTAATGCTAGACAAAGAGAGAAATCCACTGGTTCCAGGGACGGACTTTCAGCCATTGTTTCCCTTTTCTGGAGCATATCAGCTACTTGGTAATACATAATGTAATGGTAAAATATAGTGTAGTGCACTCTGGGCTGCTTCCTGGCTGTTTGTATTGACTGAGGTATTTATGTATATAACTAATCATCTCCCGAATGAAATGCTTCCACATGAATTTCTCAACATCCCTGGATGCCTTACATATACACTACACATTGCTGCAAAATGAAAACAAGGGACTGAGACACTCTAATTTTAGGAAAATGCAAACAGCTGGATTACATTTTCTTAACTACTTAATTTTCCAAGGAGAAAATAAGATAACTTGACAAACAGTTTCAAGGATGAAAATACTTTTTAAAAAGATGCAATAGAAAAATATCAAGTGAAGGGTTCAAACATCAGTACAGAACTCCACATTTGGTTTAGGAATATGACTGAAATCACAATAAAAATAGAGCTTCTGCACTTCGTGTAGGAAACACTCATAATCCCAGCAGTTCGGAGTCTGTATAAAGGAAAATAGTGATTCCAAGAATCAGAATCTGTGATGCTGGTGCCATGAGCAGGAAGAACATTAAAACGGAATTGACATTCCCTTCCCTCTTTTGTATTTTCTACAGTTAGCATTCTATTATATATATATAGTTGAACTATCTGAGCTGACAGCTCCTAGTCCACAGACAGACACAGCCCATGCGCCTAGCTCAGAGGCAGCGCTGTGCAGCGTTCCCGAAACTGGCAGCACCGCAGGACATGCACGATGCACTCCAACGCCTGCTAGATCAAGTCGGGTCAGAGCTGACCTGGAGGTAACAACACCACCAGATAGATCCTGGGCAGATCTCTACTGAGACACCACGTGAGCTATTTGCTGTGTTCCATCGACAGGTCCCTGACACCTAGGTATCTCAGCCCCGCTCTTGCACGCTCCACCTTTTCATACCCCAGATAACCCTGTACAGTGCAGAACGTACACAGGCCAATCGCAGTGCTTGAGGCCTGAAAAATAACGAGTATAGAAGAGGATATGTCCTCTTCTTTGCAGCGCTACTAACCCTAAGGCCCGAGCAGCGTCCCGAGGAGCACTGCTTACAGCCCTTTCTGCCTCGTGCCGTGTGTCATTCAGTGCAGCAGATCCACTGTACAGACACTTGACAGATGATGAAAGCCCCTTTCCTAACATAGACATGCATCTTCTGGGGTTACCATTAAGAACTCTCTCATCCTTTCTTTGGAGTAAAGGCTGGCATGAAAACATTGCAGCCTATCGCTGAGATACTAGGGGGAAAAATCCTGCTCAAAAAAACCCCAAAATAAACCCAAAACCCAGATAAACCCATAACTGGGCAAAACCCCTCTTTGTCTTTAGCTGAATTTAACAAGTCTGCAAAGCAGCAGGTGTAACTTCTGAGGCCATGATTTGCAACATAGCCCTCTGTGTTCAGATATGTAACCAAAATAACTCTATTTGGCATAGCAGAACACACACTTATTAAACCCTACAGTCAACAGACCACGTGACAATTAGCGAAAGCACAGAAAAGACTTATTGTTTCTATTCCTTAAATTATCAAAAAAAAAAAATACTATTCATAAAAAAACCCCAATATCCTTAAAGAGCTATGTGTCCACAAACAGATCAATGTCATCTTAGCACTGAAACAAGAAGATCAAATCTACCTCTCTAGATGGAGCATAGTCAAAAAGTGGACTCATTAGGAAAAAAAGGAAAAGCGTTTTAAACAAGGGAAGAGGAGGGGAGAGGAAGGAAGAAGACAAGAATGAGGGAAAAGAAGGAAAAATGTGAAAAAATCTGAACGGAAAATGTATTCTAATGGAGAAAATGGAAAATGTTTTCTAAAGGAGTCTTTTTTTTTTCCTTCTCATGAAACAAGGTCTCCTGGATACTCTAATAAATGGATTTTGATCATAATTTACTCCATTACCAACTACAAATTGGCCTTACACATTACAGTTTCTCACATCAATCCCCTCTATGAAGACATTAGCACAGACAAACGGCTCAGGAGGTAATCCATTCACACTGGGAAACCAATTATCCCATAACAACATCCACAGAGCAAAGCTGTTACAATGTAAATATCTACTGCGTGATACAAGTACTTAAAAAAAAAAACCAAAAAAAGAATCTTGCTGAATCAAGACTTAGGTTATGATTATGTTCCTTAAAAGTACCATTTTATCACCAAAATTCAAAAGATCTCACTCTAGATCTCTAGCATATACATACTACGTTATTTTAAATCTAAATAGCACTGTTAACCCAAATAGAATGACAAGAACGTCTTTGCTTATTATTTTCAATAGGACTGTGAAGGATTAGGGCTACTGATAGCTTATTTTCTGAAATGTAACTGCTCAACCAGTCATAAAGTAAATTTTCTTAATACTAACATTTTACAAGATTAACAGTTGGTATAAGACATGATCTTCAGAACAAATTGCCATTTATAAAATAATTCAGTATTTTTCTTTATTCTTGAATAAACTGTGCTCACATGTTAATTTTTTGTTCTAAAACACTGAGCATGAGCGCCGGTTATTTTGCAAAAATAAGGTATCAGTTTTGATGTTTAAACATCATAGTGACTAACAACACAGAACATCTCAAAATTCTTGGGTTTATGAGAGCCTCAAGAAAAGAATTCCTATTTCCTAACAGTTACAGATGTGAGGGACACCAAATGTTTCTAGGGGGAAAAAAAGCAAGCAGTTTAAGGACAAGACCTTTCCTGTTACAGTAAATGTGTCAAAGTAGAGGCCTGTTACCTAGTAAGATACTTTTAAGCCTGTACTTCCCCACAACCTCATAATGACTCATTCTCATTGAACAGAGAAAAGGACAGAAGGACCATCATATGCTTAGAAAAAAAATCAGGATGACATCATTGCCTGTCTGCCAGCCAGGAAAGGAAGAGAGGGATTATCTGAACAGTGAACATCTGGATTGTGTATATAAAGGCAATGAAGGATTTTTATACATGTTAGTTCACTGAGTTCCACTGAATTTTTATCTTACAAAGAAACAGTAGTGCTACGATACGCTGCTATAATGAAAAAGAAACAGGAATTCCAGTGGTTTGGGCTAGTATATTAAAAGATACACAAACAGCTTTATCATTCAGTGCTTCTTTACTAAATTTAATTGAAAAAATTTGGCAGATACTTGAATTTCTCTTTCTTTTCAAGTTAAACAAATGAAGTTTGGTAACACGAGCTTTCTTCTTTCTGTTAGGGTTTCAGACACAAAGACTGTAAGTGACATGATTCTGACCACACTGACTGCTTACAAAAAATTTTATATACGAAGTGCTTCAATTTCTTAAGAATACAACTCAAACCAGATCTATATTTTCACTTTTTTTCTTTTTTTTTTACAACACAGCATACAGTTCCTGAATAAGTCACAACTCTAATAGCTGTGTATAGACTCAACTATTCTGCATATAGTAACTCTATAAAGTTGCTGTGCAAAAAAAAAATCAACTTTATTCTAGATTGGAGTACTATTCAAAGAAACATCCTTACCTTGAACTGTTAGAGTTGCTGACGCTTCAGCTTTTCCAACCATATTTTCTGCAACGCAAGTATACGAGCCCATGTCTCCTGCCATGACTTTCCGGATTTTCAAGGTATGATCATCACGGATTTCATATCTTTAAATATATATAGAAATAAACAATGAATAGGAATAATAGAAGTTTGTACAATTTCTGTAAAGGGTAAAAATAAGGTGGGTTTGCTCTAAAATATTTTTATTCCTATGCTTCCCTTAGAAATAAAAATATGCATAAATCTTTATAAATTGATAATGTAAAATTAAAGTTTTAAAAGTAAAATATATCTAAATATTTGAAAACCTTATTCAGATTTTATTTGCAACGCGAGTCAATTTTACTGATGTCAGTAGAATTTCACTGGCGTAATACAATTGTAAAGCTCTAACGCAGAACGTTTTAATTGTTAGAAATCTTTTAACAAGTGAATGTAATAATAGTTATTATTCTCCCTACAATTTTTCCATCTGACTGAAGGATTTTTTTTAATATGGTTGAAAAGAAAATACTGCTCTCAAGAATATCAGAATTCCTTGAAAGTCAAAATAAATCACAATTCAGTCAATAATTTTTTTTTAAAGAACAACGTGGCCTTTTACCACTTCCTCTCATTTCATCACCTTTTTTCTCTTCTTTATATAATGCAGACAATGTGTTTCTCTTTAGGGGAAGTAGATTTTTCCCTTAAAAACACTATAGTTTTGATTAAAGCTATAGACTAGATTAACAGGAAGCTGGATTTGTATGACCAGAGATGTTACAGAGTTTCTTCTTTCAATACCCTCCCCTAGTAGGTTTTTAACTGATGATTGGGAATTCAAAGTAAATAAATAAATAGTCTATCTATCATAGAATGTACTTCTTATTTTAATAACGTGTTTTATTTTTTGGCCTGAATTAGAGCAATGACAGGGAAAAAAAAAGTTAATTGGAAACTTATTAACAAAAACATGTATAACCAAGGCAGCTTTCTACACTACCAGACCACATTTTATGTCAATTGCAATTCCAACATATACCTCTTGATGTTGCAATCTAATTTACTATTTGTTACACATTCTCCAAAACTTTTAGTAATCACAAAAGACTATGCAGGTGGATAATTGATCTGTATCAGATATTACTGACTGAACTTAGTTATTTTTTTTTTGTATTTGTCATGTGTTGTCACGACTAAAGTTTGAGAACAAGCCATTCTTAAGTTTCAATATAAATCATAACTTCAAATAGACCTCAATGGTAATTAGAAATGTCTTATTAGATCAGCCAGGCCTTTTCCACTCAAAAAAAGAAATGCTCAGGTGTTGAATGGCCACATCATATACCAAGCTAGAAGTCATAAAGAAGGTAACTCCACATAGCGCACCTTGTTTTTGGTAATTCCCCATCATCTTTCCTCCACCTTACTGTAGGGACTGGGTCACCTCTTGCCTCACACTTAAACTCTGCGCTGTCATCCACAGTCACAGCCAAATTACTTGGTCTTTTCACAAAAGATGGTCTCTCTAAAAGGAAAGGAAAAAAGGCATTAATCTAGTAGGTCTGTGCCCAAACTGCGATCTTCCCTGAACTGTGGCTCTTAGAGCAAAGGAAGGAGGGTGACGAATCTGATGGAGGTGCCTCTGCTGCTGCTCCTTTCACTCCCAGGCCCAGGCAGAAGATCCATAGCCCTCCAGGTGGCCAGCACTGGGAACCTCAGCACAGGAGGCAGACGCTTTCAACAGTGGCTCAGGATCAAAGCTCAGACTTCCTTACTCCTTACCTACACAAAAATCTAAATACAGACCGATGCTCAGACAGAAGCAGGCTTGCTGCAAGGATCCAGACAAATGGCCACTCATCTGCGGCACTGCTTCAAAAAGACAGAAGACACAAACCAAATGTTGTCTCACTGGAGGTTTTGACTCCATGGTGCTTCTCAATTGGAAGGCTAAGTAAGGCTCAGCACGATATCTCTATGAGGTTGCTTGCAGGTGTCAGCAGCAGCTAGTGTTCGATGCAATACTTTCCAATGCTACATTGGAAAGACATTTTCTTTCACTAGCACACATAAAATAAAACAAGCCAAAAATATCTGACAATGTCCTCTCTATAATTTTTATTCACAAAAATCTCTGTTGTCCCTGACTTACATTGCAGGACAAGGATGACCCAAGTCCTGGCTCACCAGAGTCAGATTAATTGCTGCATACTTTTTCTCAGGCCTTCTGAAACAAAACAGGATCTCAGTACAGGCTGTGCTATTTTGGCAACCCAGCTAATAGCTAGGAATTTCAGGAAAGGGATTGACGCACTTTTCTACCTGTAACAGGGTTCGAAGCTTTATGGTGCTGGGCTGTTCATGGTTTTGTAGTTCCACAACAGGCTGGAGCGCAGTGAGGTCTGCACACGCACAAGGAAGAAAAGTGTTTGTAACGATTTCTGAGATACTCCAGGAAGGACTACCCATCTAGAAAGGCAGCACCAAATGACAACAAGATGTCCATAAAGGAACATGGAAGGTTTAACAGGAGAGTGCTCGGCAGGTTCCTTTGCCCAAGGCAGATGACCTTTTTGCCTATAAACCTCTGAAATCTTCGAGGCAGTTGAGAAGGCAGATGCATGTTTTGACTTGTATGTGTTAAAGATATAAATATCATCTCCCTGGAACTGGAAGAGCCTAAAGACATTGGCACAATCAGGAAGTGTGAATACCCAAAAATATGCCCCAAATTTCTGACAGAGTACAAAAGCACCAGACAGAAGGATAAAGAGACAGACCCATATTCTTAGTGTCTCACATCTGTGCTTGACAAAAGCATTTCTGAATATTACCCTGACTTGTAGATACAGATACAGAGATTCGGTATTATAAAACCTTAGGGAATGGTTCATAAGGTACTGAAGTGGAAATATGAAAAAAAAACACCAACTATAAAAGAAGTTCCTTTATTCTCAAGGATATCCAGACTAACCGGACACACCTTTGCTTGCAATGCTAGGCAAATAATGTTAGATGAAATAGCAAGTTGATCTTTACGCTGTCAGTTCTAGCCTGAGTTCATATATAAGAAATGAGAAATAAAACAGGGACCTACAGACATGAATCCAGCTGTGAATGAAAAAAATACAAATACAGACATCCCCATTCCCCCCGCCCCCCCCTTTCTTGTACGTGCAGTAAAAACACAATCTGAATGCAAGTAAAGAACGTAATAGAAGAAACTTCAGAGTAAGTATCAATTGGGGAAGACTATTATTCACTTAATTATGCAAAAGAAAAAGGAGTGATCTGGTAAGGCCAGGACTGTTTCATAACAACAAACCCCACAAGTGGCACATTGTCCTCTAGGTCAGTTTCCTAAAGAAAAAGTAATAGTCCGAGGGCTTTTGTCTGCCCATTCCTAAGACTTTTAATTCAAACCCATAAACAGATAAGGGAAATCAGTACCAATTTAAGTATCTGTCGTTGTCACACGATTATTGGTAAATAAAAGGAAAGCTTAGCAAGGATCACTTTGAAAATTTCTAATATTACAGTTTCTGGCATGTAATCCTCCCTCTGATCTAAAGCAGAGACCTAAAAGCAAAGATCAACTTCTAAATAACCAAAACCCATAAACAAAAGATTTATGATGAAAGATTTTAATATATGAAGTCAGCATGTTTCTCATGCTTATTCATGCGTATCTAAGGCCTGAGTTGAAAGAATACAATGTATTAAAGATTTCTAGACACAGACTGATAAGGCATTCAAAGCTCTACTGTCCTGTTTGAAAATAAAACCTCACTAGTTTTCCTGGGCTGAAAATCAAAAATGTTTGAAGGGAAAACGAGATGAAGAAAAAGGCAAAGACAGACCTCTCTCTGCAATTCATCCCTCTAACAGGTGTTCAGCAAGAGAAATATTTTCCAGCCTGGATTAGATAACAGAACACACCGTGATTCCCTGGTTAGTAGTAGACCAGTCACGAGCAATTAACTGGTATTGTTCACTAAGAGCCCAGTGCCAGGACTTTACTCATGTAACTATGACCTTCTTTCGATTCTACATTTTGCTTGGAAGATCTGAAAGTCTATTTGACAATAAATCTCCTCCCCAAGTGCTTCAAAGATGTCTATAAATTAAAAAAAAAAGCAAACGGTAGGGTGGATCATAGGAAGTCTTCCTTAGCTTCCAAAAAGTTACCCGCTATCTTGCTGGATATTCAATTTCAACAACTTCAAGATGACATATAATCTCATTTCATTAAGGAAAGCCCTGCTTCAAATAAAACTCTGAACAGGACTTCAAGTTGCTTGACTCCTAATTCTAAAAAGCGGTGAAGACAGATGAAAGTCGAAAAGACTGATAAGACAGATCTTAAATGTGAATTTAAGAAAAAAATTAAAAAAGGCAGCAAGAGCCAGGACTACTGCAGCAGCGCTGTGATGGAAACCAAAGAGTTCTGAAATGACGTCTAGGATATTTTCATCCTGTGATGATAAAATATCTATTCCTTCTGCAGAAACAACTAAGCTATCTCAAGCCTACCTTACTTCAAAGTAACAAGACACATTTTGAATGAAAACTACCACAGCTGCATCTACAGTGATCAGGAGGCAATTCTCGTATGTTGAAGGTATTCTGAGACTGCACTTGGGATTACAGCTTCTTTTCTGCAAAAGCAACAAAAAATGCAATTTGCAGCTAATCTCAGTTACCTTAAATGAAAGCATATTTCTGGAGGCTCAGAGAAACTATTATTGGAATCACTTGAATAAGTAGACCTGTTGTATCTTTACAATGCTCAGCACACGCAACTATAAATGAAAGGATAATAATATAGGACAGCAATTTAGAATAATTCTGATTTTCTTCAACGAGAAGGAAAAAATAAGCCTCCGCTTCTTAGTGATGTTAGCTTTTTGCTTTGCTATTATTTTATAACACTGATCCAGTCAGTGGACTCTGGAATTATATTCAGTTTGATAACTGAGCATGAAAGCAACAAGACAGCAACGAGAATTCAAGGTGGACTGCAAGGCCATTAGCTGCCACCCATTTGCTAGAACACAACTGAGACAAAAACATTTTCAACACAAACATTGAAAAGGGAATGGATGAGAACGACTCTTAATAATAGCCTTTGGAAAAACAAAAGCTGGATATTTTCATTTTCATGGATATTTTCATTAACACAGTCTGAAAGAAGTTCTTACCTAAAACAGTGAGCTCCGCAACTTCACTTTCACGTTCTCCAACCATATTTGTTCCAACACAAACGTATTTGCCAGCATCATTCTTTCTTGTGTATGTGATCATAAGCTTTCCTCCTCTGATCTAGGACAAATCAAGGATAATAAAAAATACTTTAATACGAACTGATGATTTAATAATATTTATAATGCGTCAAAGGTTTTGCTACAGATAACAAAAACCCCAAGCTATCAGTGATTTCTCAAATCATACAAAAAAGTGGAAAAAAAAAATTACTACTAACCCAGTTTCCTTCTCTTATGCAAAAAAGCTTGCCTCTTAGTTTTAAATCAGTATTTTAAAATCTCTCAGATTCCAAGCCCTATTTACTGTTTTCTTCATTCAGCGTAATGGAATACTGGCTGTTCAACAGCCTGTTTAATGCCCCTTGGCCAGAAGGACAACAATTCCTTCCTATGTGCTACTGCAGTTTGATATAATTGGGTGGAGAGTAAAAATTAGCACTAGGCATAAATCCCATCTCTACATCGAGTGCTGCAATTACTTTTTCTTGACAAGACATATGTGTACGTTACCCTACTGTTGGTCGTGCTTGTTATTATTCATGAATTTTGTGTTTGTTTTGGTTTTCATTTCTAAAGGAAGCAAAGGAAATTTTTTATTCTTCAGTTCTTCACCTTCAAGTAAGTAATTTTAAAGGCTGATAAGCAGCTGGGCAGAAGTAATAAAATCCTTACTGGGAGATGAATAACATTCTGCTCTTAATTTGGAATTCCATTTTTGGAAGATAATGGAATTCCCGTAACACAAAAATCAGAAAATATACTTCCTCTTTGTGATTCCAAATCTTATTATTTTATTTAAAATACATATTAAATGCATACGAAAACATCTGATCTCCCTATAAAAGTATTTATTCTCCTATTTGATTGACAAAATGGTTGAACGAGTTTCAAAGTTCACCAAAACGCAGCAAAATTTGTGTAGGCAACTGAATATGTACCATGCTTACTTTAATACACAAAAACATTACTTAATTACATTAATCACATTTTTAAGTGAACATATGCTTATAAGTCCAATCACATATGGAAACCACTGCAGTCAAGGCGTGAGTGGTAGTAAACAATAAATAAAAGCCACATATGAAGCTACATGAAAGGGTCTAATGTGGTTAGTGACAAGGAGGAGAGTGTTCTCAATATGAGGTATTTTGCTCAAGTTGCCTGCAGCCAGAAATCTATCCCCGAAAATTTGACATCTTGAGCAGCGTTGGGCTCTTATTATCATTGTAAGATGTATGCACACAAAGATGACAGTCAGTTATTGAGATAAATGAATGTGCACATGTAACGTAGATAGTGTTGCATACAAATTTCATTCTGTTGCCTTTGGCACTCGTTGTTTGAGAACAGAAAAGATACGTCCTTTATCATCCAGAAATCTAGTCATGCTGAAATTTCAATGGGGATTTGAGGCATGAAGAATGAAAAAATACAAAGGTGACCTGCAAATACACATTTTTCAAGAATCTGTGTGCGTTTTTAGATAGCTGACTGCCTGAAATGGTAAGCACAAGAAGAGAAAGTAACATATCACTAGAAGTCTACCTATATTTGCTCCTTTTTACATCTCCCTAAACCACAGAAATTTATTTATTTCCTATTAGTCTATGCAAAGGATTTTAAAAAACAATTTTAGGAAGATTTCCACATGTATTTGGGGGTATTTGCGTATTCATATATATATATGCAGAAATATATACTTTCCATGTATCTCAATATTGAATGCACTGGATTTAACAAATAAATGTACTTACGTATCACAAGAATTTACCAACTCGGCTGAAGATTTCAAATCTATGTAAACTGAAAGCAGTGATTTTCATACATATCTTAGGATCTTAAGTCCTAATGACATTCAGTAGCACTTGTGCTCCTCTGTGATTTTGGCACTTAGGAAAATCCCATTCAAACTCGTTACAATATGACACAGCTGTATGTTTTGCACAAATTGCAATATCGTGGAAGAACTATCCTAGGAATTTCTTCTAGGAATCACCATAAGACTCTTTTCAAAGCATAGATGGAGAGAAGCATTAAAGCCGAAACATCTGAAGAGCTAAAAAAATCACTGAAAGCTGCTTTTCTTCAAAGTTATCTGAATTTACATAAGGGAGAAGAGGCAGAGGAAACGTTCCCTCATGGACGTTGAGGCAGATTTCCCAAAGATGTGACACGCCTACTGAAAGAAGCTGTGCTTCCAAGATGGAATTCTGAATGTATTTTTTTATTTTTCCTATGAGTTTTCCTTTGTTGATCTTTTTTGTTTGTTTTCCTTGAAGCAGAAGAAGGGTTCAGAACTTTAGCTACAATGACGATTACGCCACATGAACTGTGATGAATGACCCAGTTACAACAAAATGTACCACAAGTACCTGTGGAGTCACATATGTCTGTAACTAGAGCATTCACAGACAGCTAGAAGCAAGCGTACTTCTGCTGTTGGGTCACTATCCAAGTTTTCCACTAAATTTTAACACTTAGGTATCCATCATCTCAGTAAGATTGATCAAACCCTTCTATTTATTAACAAGACATTGCAAATCAAATCTGTAGCTATGAGAAATTTACATTCTCTATGTGCAAAGTTTGTGACTTTTTCTCTCAATACGAAATCCTAGAAATACCTATGGATTGTAGACCAATGGCTTGACTAACAAAGTACACAATGAAATACATGCATGTGAATTTTTGTGGGAACACATAATGAATCATTGCCACATTTCTTTGTTTGACTACGTTCATATCCAATTAAGTCCAGTACTATAAGTTCATGTCCAGCATTCAGAGCAGTAAAGAGCCAAACTGAGCCAAATCATCTTTGGAGGCAGCATCTGAAATCACAGAAATTAGAACTATTCATAGTCTGTGGATACTTAGCAGTTTATCAAGGTGTTTCAATTTGAGTGCTTTGGTGCTTCTTTTCATATTTGTGCCCCTGCCCAGAATACACCAGCTGGACTTTATAGTAGCAAATGATATAATAGTTTGAAAAAGTGACAGGCAGGGTAACATTTCATCTCAAACTTCCAGAAGAGCTGTTACCATACTGAACACAAAGAGAAGTCCTTTCTTCATAGTAAACAAGATATACCAAACAATTTGATTACACGACTCTGGTAGATACTGCATATCCTGGGAAAAGAATTGCTTTGCTGACTGCCAGAGCCTTAAGTCCAGTTTTGAAGAGATGGAAGTAAGTATCATGTTTCTTTTATACAGAAATGATGCCAAGGCACTTTTTGACTTTTCATGCCTCTTCAGAATTTTGTTCTGTTCTGTGCCTAACAGCAAATTTGAGAGGGCTGTGCAAGCAGAGAATACAAGAATAGCACCGAATACTGATGAGAGAAAAAGATTGCGTTCAGCGGTTCACAGATGATCTTCAGTTGCCTACAACACGTATGGATTGTTGTATATATGTTAAGAGAATATATGATAGCATGGTGACTTATAAAGGCTTATTGAAAGCTATTTTCGATGACCTGCCTGCCTGACCATATTTTGCTCCTCCTGAGTAAATTGTTCATTCAAGCAAGTCCACTTCATTAATTTCTTTAAACAATAGTTGGAGATGTTCATATAGAAAACTCTAGGCCCCCACAGAGTTAACTAGGTTCAGAATTGTAAATTACGGCCACCCAGCAGCAAAAAATTATATACAAATAATGAATCGACTCAGTCACCCAATAAATCAAATCCATAAAAACTTACCCAAGGGTTATACAACATACCACCAAGTGTTCAGTATAGCTGTACACACATGCATACTTATCCTAAGACCATATTTTATGTACCTATGTGTGCTGTATGCGCATGTGTAAATTTCTGTATGTATAAACCCATACCCATCTGACTGTTTAAAAAGAAATATTTTTATGTATGTGGGTGATTCATTTACTTTTCACTGAAAAGTGCTATGAAATATGAGAAAGAATGAAGCCATGAGAGAAATGCTTGGGAAGTCCAAATATAAAGGTGATTGGTAGTTTTTTAAACTTTCTTTTAGCTCTTAGTTTCATTCTGTTTAATAAGTGAAACCTGCTCTGTTGCAAAACAATAATTCTAAAGCAAACATAAATCCATAAGAAAATGAAACTTAGACTGCAGGGTGAAATACTGACCTCCGTCTCTATAGCCAGGGTTTCTGCATATGTAATATCATAAATTTCACATATTTCAGTCTTCTACAGAACAGAATACATAATGTCACATTTTATTTAAATGAAATGTGATGAGCATGTGATATTAACCTGTCAGACACGGTCTTTGCTTTAAAAGTGTACCATCTAATTATAAATGACAATGAAAAAGTTAACAAACAAGGTGAGGACAAGCAATTGTAATTAATAGTGTCACGAATGGTAGATACAAGTAAAATGGAGCTTTTATTTCTTAGTTAGGAAACACAGAGTTTGCTCATTTCCCTCCATGTGGTCTAGCATTCCAAAACAAATTAGTATATCCAGATTATGACTTATCATTGCAGCACAGACTGTAAGGCATGGAACGTCAGCAATAGAAGATAACTTCGCAGTTTTAACAAAGTCGGGTAAAACACAGTATAAATGAATACCTATCTTAAATTTGTATTTAAAAATGTGTATCTTGTTCCAAGCCTTGTGAATCCCATGTATTCTTTCCTATCTATTATAGTATGCTTAAATATGAGAATACTAGACATCAAAACGTGTTTGGAATAGGTCTTTAACAATGATTAAAGTTTGTTCTCGTTCGACTTCAAAGTTCAGACAGAGCAATCTGTCCTGCTTTCAGTTCCATTCTCTGGGACCCCAGGAAGGTACGCGCTGTCTCCTCCAGATCAAACACACAAAAAATTCTTTTTGAAAGAAGTTTAAAACATACTTTCAAGTGGTCTTCCTGTGCCATAAATCTGTCATGACAAAGTGTAAGTCAATTGTTCCCCCTACTATACAGACCAACAAAACAGTCTTGCAAAGACGATGGGCCTGAAGGTAGAGTCTGTAAAGGATGGTGCAAAATGCAGAGGAAGGTAGCTTTCCTTATAAAGAGAGAGCATTTGAGAGATATAAAATGACA